AGGGGCTGCTCACTCAACCCAGGACTTGACCAGGGTGGGGGCAAGGGACCGAGGCAGAGATCTAGGCGGGAAGCAAATCTGGAGGCAGCTCGTGAGGTCAGACAGGCCACAGCTGGAGGCTACGCCTTGACAAATGTCCAAAGGACCAGCTGTCACAGTCAAAAGGGCAAGAACGGAAACTGGGGAAGACGAAGCAGGGATGAGGCCAAGGTGAAAGTATCAGAGAGGATGAGAGGTCCTCACTCTGGGACTGCCTCCCAAAGTAACCCTTTAAATCAGAATGAAACTCGGGGCTCCGCAAGGCGATTCTCCCACATTCACCCCATTCTCCCCAACCTCCACACTACATTCTAGAAGCTCAGGCTGAAACCTCTCCTTGGGGTCCTATGAACAAGAGCGGTAAGAGGCACTTTTCCTGAGGACGTGCTGGTGCGCACCTGGGCATGTTTTCAGAAACAGCCTGGGAGCAGCCTAGTCATCTGGGCAAACGTCGGCCACATTCGCCCTGCACTCAGGCCCGCCTGTATGCCCAGTTGCACGGTTTGTGCGCTGCACCCGAGATCCCAGCTGACAGGATGAGTGGGGATGAACACCTCTTCCTAGGAAGCCACACAGAACCTTTATCCAAAGTCTCCATCTGCATTTTGAGCAGGGAGGCTGCTGACTGCAGCGTTTCCAACACTCAATACAACCTTTCCTCAAGTTCCCTGGGGAAGACGCCATCAGATGTAGAGACTCCGGCCCCCAGATTCCTTTTTATCACACGTATCCTCTCGGGCTGCATGGAGCAACTTTCCCCACTGTTGCTCTTGCAGTTCAGGCATCCTTGGAGGCCTCATTTGTTCTTTCTTATTGTTGAAAATCTATCCACCTTGATCCACCTTCCTGCCCTCTTTTGCTCAATGCCTGAGGAATGTCTCAGGAGTGAGACAGCAGGGACAGACCTCTACCGAGGCCCTGCGCTCAGCTCACTGGTCTTGAAGGCCCTAGATGGAGCCTTAGCTGTGTCTTCTGTACCCAGCTAACCGCTCTCCTTTCAAGCAACAGACAGGGTGTGCAACCCTCTTAGCGCCCTCAGGCCTCAGTGATTATGCTACCTGTACTGTAGGTCCTAGATCCGAAGTTAGAGCATTTTACTCTACAAGACAATGTTTTCAATGAAAAATCTTCAGTAAAAATGTATTGTGGCCTCTATAATAAATTTCTATGGAGAATGTCATTTTAAAATTTACACAGATCTGAAAAATAGGCCATCTTTTATGTATGAGAGAAAACTATGTTTCTATGTTGGTATTTGATGAAAACAAAGAAATGAATTGCAGAAGTCTTCATGAGACGCAACAGTGGGGTGGGCGGAGACGGGGACAGGAGGGATGGGTGCCTGCCCAGCAAACCTCTATGTACTCTCTGGTTTTTGAACTACGTGAATGTAAGGTCTATCTTTGAACCCACACACAAATTTAACAAATAGTAAAAAGCACTCAGAGTCGTTTGCAAAGTCTCTCTCTACACTGGGGAGGCGGGAGACCCTGGGTCTGAATGCTCCCTCTTATCTGAAAACGTAAATATGATGCCCAGAGCCCTCCCCAGTGGCTCTTCCCAGGTAATTCTCTTCCTTTGGAAAAGGCTGGGAGACAAAAGATTCAGACCACTGTAGCTGAATTGAAGTTGAGGTGTGGAAAAAAAAAAAAAAGCCCCTGGAGGAGAGATAATTGATTTTAAAAAAACGGGATTTGGATTTATTCCCATTATATGGGCCAGATGATATTGTGTCCTTTAAATAGTGGTAGCATCAATTAAACACATCCTGGGATTGCAGGATGGTGAGCCTTGGGATTCTGAATACGTTTGTTCCAGGCAGGTGGTTTGGAAGCTTGACCAATTCTAATCCACGTTTCAGCAGTGCAGCCACCTGGCAAATTGTCAGAGCTACTGAATCCTAATATTCACTGGAGGAAGGCTGTGTTGTCGCTCCTTCTTGCTCTCTTTTGCAGTTGGGAAGCTGGTATTTCCTGACAGGGGCACACACTGCCTCTCACTGGGGATCTGCTCAGAAAGTGGGGCTTGGGTAAAGCACCCCCACCCTATCTTCACTTCCCTCGCCTCTCCTGTTCCCCACCTGTGTTGCCCTCTTTCCAATACTGCAGTGTTCTTACTTTCCCCAGCCTGACATCTTATGGCAGGTGTGGTGGAATAAACACTGGCCTGAGGCTGGTGGCCGAGGTAAAATTGTAGACACGGTGAGTATGTCCCCTGGGCTCTTCTACTGGGCCGCCCAAGGGGCTCCCTTCCCCCAGTGGGGCTCCCCATCCTCCTCCCCTCCCAGGCCTTTCTCTGGGATGCACACCTGTCACCTCTTACATCACCCTGGTGTAGCTGAAATGGCACTAAGCACTATTATAATAAAAATGTAATACCGGGAGACCAAACATTGTGAGCAGACAGAAATGAAGGAAATCTAATAGAAGAATAACAGGCAGGGGGTACTTGGGGGAGCAGAAGACACAGCCTATGTGCCCCTCCCTTGAGCTTAGCCCTGAGACTTAATAGATGTTAATTAATTATCCACTGCCTCCAGACAGTCCCTAGAGGCATCTCAAGCTGGGCAGCAGTATCCTCCATGTGCCCCTCCAGGTGCGCCATCCACCCTTCTCCCCGTTTCCCCCACAGGAGGCTGACCTGCAGTGGCTCCATAAACAGGGCACCCTCCTCCTCTGGCTGCCTGCTGGGTTTGAGCGATGGGGAGCCCCACAAGGAGACTGAAGGGAGGGCAGGGAAGGAAGTCAGGCTGCTCACGGCTGGCTGAGCACTTCTCCTCTCCCCAGGGCCCTCTCCTTCCTGGCTCAGGTCACTACCTGATTCAGGTCCCCTGCACCTCCAAGTCTAAGGGTCATCATGACTCCCCACTGTTGCTAGCCCTGGGACACCACATTAGCCACTGTGGTGCCCTCACACCCAGCCCACATCTTTATAAATAGTTCCTGTCTTGAACATTCTTGAGATTAATTGTCCTGACTAGAGAGTGACATCTGTTTCCTGCTGGGACCCTGGCTGGTACAAGTTCAAAGGCTGGCATTTGGGTCCCAGCACTGCCATTTATTATATTTGTGACCTTGGACATGCCACTTAACTACTCTGGACCTCAAGTCCTTTAAGTGTAAAATGAAAGGACTGAGTTAGTTTGGTTTTTTTTTTTTCTTAATTCAACAAATACATAGTCCTTAGTGCGAGCCTCTCACATACCAGGCAGTGCACAGAGGCTGAGAGATCAATGGTGGACGTTAACAGAGCCAAGAGGCCACCACTCCATTAGATGGTCTGGCACATAAACGTCTATCTAGGACTCACTAACTCTAAGGTCTCTGATTCCTTGATGGTCCAGTGGTCCAGTAATTCACAAGCCAAGAGGGGATTTGGGGAGGGAGCTTCAAAGGGAATTAGTCCACCTTGAGTCAGGGGGAGGGGTGGGAGAAGACTGCACTGGGACAGGTGGCCACAGCAAAGCTCTAAGTCCAGGGACAAGGTCCTAGGCAGTCAGGGGAAGAACATTAAACCTGTTGGGCAGAATGACTCAGGACCTCTGTCTTCGTGTGTGTGAAATGTGTGCGTGTGCCCGTCTGTGTGGGCAGGAGGATCATCACCAGTATCATCGTGACAGCAGTCACGTGGAACGCAGGGCCAGGAAAGAGAGAAGCTCGTTACAAATATTGGGAAACCAGTAACGTGAAAAAAAAATGCCGCTTAACATAAACCGTGCTTGGTTGTGTTAAACGCTGATAATCATTGCAGCCATTTATTAGGACCATTTGCATCCAGTTGCATCCAGTTCCCCAGCAGCACAGTAACACACGCACAGCATTACGTATGCTTCAGGTTGATCTCACTACAGATTGTATTTGATAGGAAAGTAAGCGTGACACAGGTAAGAAGGGATTGCTGTGGTCTCATTGGCCAGTGGGGCCTGGCTGGAGACACCTGCAGCCCCTCTGATTCTAGGTCCCACCAGAGCCGCAGCTGGAGGTGGCAACTGGCCACAGAAACAGGAGTGTGGTTTGGCGTGCAGAGTTTTTCTAAATTGAATTTAAATCCTAAGCCTTCTTAGTCTCCATGGTCTTAATCTTCCACATTTGTACACAGCTTTTCCTCCCGTATTTCTGCCAGGCTCTGGTCCTTTTCCATCTGTGTTTGGACTTTCTTCCACACTGCACAAGATGTTCTTGCATAGACAGGCTGTGTTTTCACAAAGGTAATAAAGCTACATTTACTCAGTACTTAGCATTCCCAAAGTCCTTTTCCATACTTCCCTTTCAATAATAGCCCAGGATGGGTACCAGGCAAGGGTAATCCCCTTTTCTGGATAAGCAAATAAAGTCTTAGCAGTGATTGGACATTTGTCCAAGTTGACGTGATTGATAAGGAGAGCAGAGGCTTCTCGGCCCTGACGTTGGGAGTGGTCAGTCTCTCTTCCATACTGGGCATCTCCATGTCAGGGAACCACTGTGCCAGAGTTCAATGCCTCTCTGGGGACATCCTGGGCTGACGGCCCTCTTGGCCTTACTACACACCGAGTCTTTGTCTTCCAATACTAGTTGTGTGCCTATCTGCTGCCTCTTCTCAAAGTGCTGCTACCTTGAGACATACAGTCTGGACAGTTTTCCTTTGAATGCACCCTGAGGCCCTGGCTTACACTGAAATGCACCTGCCCCTATTTCTCTCTGGAGACAACCTTCTTTTTTGAAGGTTTAAGTAGAAATGTCAGGAATTATACTCTAACCATAAAACCAGATCCTAAGCCAACATGGGCAAGAACATTCCAGATACACGCTTCTTCTGGCCCTTTCCTTTTTGGACACCATGAGGACCTGCCCTCGGGGGCCTGCTCCGTGCACAACTGGGAAGAAGGACCCCAGCTCTGGACCAACTGGGCCCACGTTCCTCCATTTGTTCCCACTCTTTAACTGGCTCCAAGAGCCTGAATATGATTTTCAAAGCCCTGCAGGATGAAGCCCAAGGTACTGTCTGGTCCTTCCACTTTCCTTCCTGCCCTTTGGCTCCAAGTCCAAAAGGACTGGACCCACTGTTCCAGTCACTCTAAACTGCTTACTCCTTGTTCCAGGACACAAGATCTTTCTCTCTGTCTGGGCTGCCCACTATTACAGCAAGGGGCTATTTTGTGGTCTGTCCCAGAGTGTGGGATGTGTGCCTCTGCTGAAACATGGGGTGCCTTTAGGGATGTGGCATTAAGTACCATAGTACATGTCACTGAGTCAGCTGGTCAGAAAGTTATCTGCTTCTCTAACGGGTCAGGGATGAAGACTCAGTACACATCCAGGCCTCTTTCATGCTTCTTACCTTCTTTTAAATTATTAAGAGTGCAGGGCTCAGTCAGAGCTTTCCCAGGCAAGAGTTTCTAGCTGTAATTCATGACATTGTTTTATTTTCATTATTTTTAAAATCATGAATGGCAAAAGTTTTTTTTTTTAGAGACAGTCTCACTTTGTTGCCCTTGGTAGAGTGCCGTGGTGTCACAGCTCACAGCAACCTCCAGCTCTTGGGCTTAGACAATTCTCTTACCTCAGCCTCTGGAGTAGCTGGGACTATAGGCACCTGCCACAATGCCCGGCTATTTTTGTTGCAGTTGCCACTGCTGTTTTTTAGCTGGCCGGGGCCAGGTTCGAACCCACCAGCCTCGGTATATGGGGCCAGCACCCTACTCACTGAGCCACAGGTGCCACCCAAGAGATTTTGATTTCCATTTAAGGAAGCAATATAAAGTGTCCTTTTAAAATAAAATAAATGTTTTCTAAGTTATAAAATGTGGCCCATGCTAGTGAAAAATATTAGATAATTGATATAAAAAATGATAGAGATCATAAAACGGCACATACGGGCTCACGGTGGGAGAAATGTGAAGACTCTGGGTGCAAATCCCAGCTCGGTTCCTACTAGCTGGGCAACCTATTCTGTTTCACCCTTTCTGGGCTGCTGTTCTCATCTCCGGATAGAGGGTAACAGCAGCACCTTCTTCTCAGAATTAAATTAACGTAACGAATGTAGAGCACCCGTCCCAGTGCCTGGACACCAGGTACTGGTGAAAATGCTCATCAAGCTGGACACCATTTACCAGCCTGCTGCAGCCACCTCTCCCGTGAAGGCTTCCTGAGTACTTCAATAGGAGTCCTCTTTCCTCTCTCTGTTCTCCAATGACACTTCATATACTTGTCTTATGCAATGTCACCCCTTCTATTTTGTACATAGTTTTGGACGTATCTATATCCCACACAGGCTGAGCACGTGCTAAATGATTAATAAGTCTTCAATTATGAATGGATTCCCTCTTGTTGTTTTATTTTTCTCTCATGTGTTTGGTTTATAAGGATCTGTTCTCTTTTCTCTGGGAAGCCCTAAAGGGTCCTCTCAAATCTCAGTGTGCCATAGAGTATCCAAAAGTATCTGAGGAGAGGTCCTGGTACAAGAGAACAGAGAGTGTTCATTGGTGTCATTTAAGTCGCTGCTGCACTCAGGCTGGAAACATGAGGTCCTGTCCATTCTTCATCTGCGAAGCAAGAGAGAAAAACCCAGAGGTGGAAGAAGGAGGGGTTGCAGAGTTGTGGATACGGGGAAGAGGCAGGGGAACAGGGGGCATCGCGTGGTGGACTGCAGAGGCGTGGCTGTCGATGGACAGCAAGACACCAGGGACAGAGATTAATCGGGGTCAACTGGTGTAGGACTCACACACCCAGCCTTTAGGACAATACGTCCTAAGCAGACCTGGTGGGAGCCTTCTGCCCAGGTCTCCACATGAGTAAAGCTGAGGGCTAGAGTAACATGCAAACCCAAATGCATGAGGCGTGTGTCCAGGAAGAATTACCTTTGACTGGATCGTGTATTTCCCCTCTTTTCAGAAGCTGCGACGGGTCCTCTTTGGAAATACAGACTATGTCTTCAACTATACCTGGAGAAAGGCCCATTTCAGGTTCCATGATCCTTTTTCTGAACTGGCTTTTGCTTTGGAAGTGGGAAAGGTAACAGTGTGTAATTTTATTTATTTATTTATTTATTTTAGACAGAGTCTCACTGTGTCGCCCTTGGTAGAGTGCTGTGGTGTCACAGCTCACGGCAACCTCAACTCTTGGGCTCAAGCCTCAGCTTCCCTAGTAGCTGGAACTATAGGCACCCGCCACAACACCTGGCTATTTTTTTAGAGATGGGATCTTGCTTTGGCTCAGGCTGGTCTTGAACTCCTGAGCTCTAAGCAATCCATCTGCCTCGGCCCCCTGGAGTGCTAGGATTATAGGTGTGAGCCACACTCCCAGCTACGGTTTGTAATTTTAAAAAGCGAATTCCATGTCCCTTATCCATGTTTCCTTCCTCCCACACCCCTGGTGTGCGTGTTTTCATTATAATCATAAGTAGAGACATATATCTATTATAAAGTTTAACTTTAAATGATAATAGACAAACACACTAAGTTGAAATAAAGTCTTAAACTCCTGTTTCATCCCACCCCCTCTGAATTCTAGCTTCCCTGCCTCTTTTCTCCATGTTTTAAGCATCCCTGAGGGTGACAAAAGGCAGGAGATCTAGGAACTTCCTTCTGGTTTTATCTGAAATATCAGTAATGCATGTCATTGATCACTAGTCACATCTAAATTTCCAGGGCTAGTCAACTAGCTCTTACCTCCTACCAATCTACAAGTCCGATGTGAAGCAGGGGCATGGAGATGGCAGGACGGAGTATGCCACATATCCCCAGGCTCCACCAAGAAGCTAAGACAGGGAAGAGTGGCACTCTTAGGGTACAGCGTCCCTTCACTAAGCCCTGGGAGCACCAGGAGGGAACAGGCTGCAGAGAAAGTAGATTGCAGCATCCACTTCTAAGAGTGCCCTTCTGTGATATTGGCCTCAGTGGTTTCATGACAACTGACCAGCTCTCGGCCTTCACACCTCACTGCTCACCCTCCCCGTTTCAGGGAGGTGCCCGAAGCGTTCAGATGGCTGTGCAAGGATTCATTATTAAATACTTGCTGTTTACCAGGAAGGGAAAGGACTGTAACTTTCACAGGTAAGAGGATGGTGGGAAGGACTTGGAAGAGTTAACCTGTTTCACTAGCACCTTTCTATTCTAAATAATCACCACTGAAAAATTCAAGTTGCCTCAGGAAGGAATCTGCCTCCCAGGGCGAAAGCGGCTCTGTCCCAGAGGCGAGGCTGGACTTTGCCTCTGGGGAGGGCTCTGCTGGAGTCACTGTCATGGCAGTGGCAGGGATGATGCTGACAGCTTTATGCTCTACTCAGCCCACACTGTCAGGCAGAATTAAGCACCATGACTCACGCGGGCTTACTCCTCCGTATTTGATGGGACGCCCTAACCTAACAATTCTAAAGAGGAACAAAAAAGATGATTATAAACTAAATAAATCAGGCATCCTCAAACTACGGCCCGTGGGCCACATGCAGCCTGCCTAGGACATTTATCCGGCCTGCCAGGTGTTTTGGCCGCCGCTGCCTGTCCTGCTTAGCAGCCGACTCATCCCGGGGCCCGCAGTCCAGCCCTCCAATGGTCTTAGGGACAGTGAACTGGCCTCCTGTTTAAAAAGTTTGAGGACCCCTGAAATAAATGAAGGATTAGTCCCCCTATTTAGCCAGGCTGACAAGGTATAATGTTTGGTAGTTGCCTATTTTTAAAAATCAGTTCAGATTTATTCAAATTTACTTTATTCTTAGAAGTTAGCAAACCTCTATCACATGCAAAGCCTTATGCTAGATATTTGAGAAAATAAAAATATATCTGCCTTCAGGCAAGAGATGTGATCACCCAAATCAGGAACTAAATGTATAATATATTCCAAGATCATGAATTACCAGGTTCCCTAGAAGCAGAGCCCATGATGGAGATTCTTTATGCAAGTGATTTATCAAAGGAGTGCGCTCAGGAGAAATCTATCAGGGAGAGAGGGAAGCAGGAGAGGGCAGGAGAAGCAGCTGAGGAAGAATGTGGTTTCCAGGATCACCAGCCTGGTGCCACGGGGAGCTCAGGTGCGGAGATTGCCACGGTGGAGCCTGTCCCACCTTCAGATAAGGGAGCAGGGCTTCTGCACCCCCTACTTAGGGAATGGGCATACCCCCAGCACTTCTGGGCAGGGTGGCGCCAATCCTTTGGAGAAGGTTAAAAAGTGGGAGCCACTAGCCCCCATACCCAAAGCAGCCTGGGGACGAGTCCACCATCTGAGTAAATTGGACCCCAGGGAATCCAATGGAACAGGCACACACCCCTGCTAAACGTAGAGCGCTTAGCAGAGCACTGTAGCTGGCACACGCACGCGTGGGGGTGTTCCTGTGGCAAATGTTAAATAAATGCGGAAGAGTCACTGCTCCTGTCGACCTACCTGCCCCTTAGACCTTGCAAAAGAGTTCTGGAGTACCAGGCTCCTTGTTACTCATTTCTGTATCAACACGGTAGATGGATTGAATATATTGTTGCTGAGTTCATTAATAAACTTTTACCATGTTTATAAAGACAACAGTGTCCATGTTAAGTTAGAAAACAAGCAGAGTAAAGGCGTCCTGCATCAAGCCCAGCTCCCACCTCCTGGAATGCAGGGCAGCCCCGGGCATGCTCAGTGCGGGGAGTGGTTGAGAGCAGCTCAGAGCTGAATGGCCCAGCTTCCTTCCAGTCACTGCCCTGTCACCCCATGGGTGAATGACCGAGAAAACTACTTCACCTCTCCGGTCTGTCTTACCTCACCTCTAAAATAGAAGGATACTATTACAGAGGGTGACAAAAAAGTATACGCATTTTTTAAGAAAGAAAAAAACTATACTAAAATTGTAATAGATGTCAAATGTGACTGGAGTGTTACCATTTTAATACAGTTTTTTCCTTTCTTAAAATGTGTATACATTTTGGCTCGGTGCCTGTAACTCTGCAGCTTGGGCGCCAGCCACATACACTGGAGCTGGCGAGTTCAAATCCAGCCCGGGCCTGCCAAACAATGACAACTACAGCCAAAAAGTAGCAGGGCATTGTGACAGGCACCTGTAGTCCCAGTTACTTGGGAGGCTGAGGCGAGAAAATCGCTTAAGCCCTAGAATTTGAGGTTACTGTGAGCTGTGACATCATGGCACTCTACCAAGAGCAGCAAAGTGAAACTCTGTCTCCAAAAAAAACAAAAGTGTGTATACATTTTTTGTCCCCTCTGTATCTACCTCATAGGGACAAGTGAGATGACATGTGTGAAGTACCCAATGCTGGGCTCAGGGAGTGCTAGGCAAGTGTGAGCTACAGATTGTTAAGGTTGATCTGAAGTGGGCCTCTGACAACGTGTAGGGCATGATGAGACCATCTTTAGTGGCCACTAAAAACCCAAGTGAGAATGGCAAGGAGGTGGAAAGTGGAACATATGTTCCGAGGACTGGTCCATCTGGGAAGAGGGTGCAAAATGGAAACCTCAGAGACAAAACTGCAAGAAATATTTGAAGTTGAGCTTGACAAGGGCTTGTTTCATTGGCCTGAAGAGATTGGACTGATCCCTGCTGGAGTTCAGGAGGAAGGACAGTGTTGGGACTCAGCAGAAGTCATCGTGCAGGGTGAGCAGGGCGGGATCACCAAGAGAAATTACACTGTGCAGTGAGGATTCCAGTCGCAATCCCAGCAGAGGACCAGGCCCTCCTGTGAGGGTGGTGGAGGGACCAAACAGAGCCCCCTGTATCCAGGAGGGATCCTCCGAGCAGACGCCCCAGCATGGCGAGGTGACTGCATTCTGAGGCTTTCCTACCCTTGCCTCCTGTGTTGCAGTTTGTGTGAAATAAGCAAGCAGGAGCAGGAGGGAGCCCTGGCCGTGGTGTTAGCTGGCATCCTGTGGGCTGCAGGAGCAGCTCAGAAGGCCACTGTCTGTCTTGTCACTGAGGACACTTATGTTGCCGCTACTCCTGACTACTCCGTGGATGATTTCACTGAGCGGGTAAGTGCACTCCCCACCAGCCTGCCAAATAAGAGGCCAGAAAGCCCTAGCTTCTGTTAGACTTACCATGGAAATGGAGGCAGAGCCCCAATCATGACCCCAATGTGGCCAGAGGCACTCAGGCATCCTCAAACTACGGCCTGCGGGCCACATGCAGCCCACTGAGGACATTTATCCAGCCTGCTGGGTGTTTTTGCCGCCACTGCCTGTCCTGCTTAGCGGCCCGCCAATGGTCTGACGGACAGTGAACTGGCCCCCCGTTTAAAAAGTTTGAGGACCCCTAAGTAATCCATGCAGCCCAAAGGAGCCAAGCAATTGTGAATTGCTCTTTCCAGAATTCACCATGCTCAAGAATGTCCCATACCTGATATCATCATAAACTGTTATGTAAATTGTAGCATACTCTCGTTGTGAGTCCAGAGCCTCGTGAAGCATATATAACTCACACATCTCTTTGCTAGGTTTTGCTAGGACCTATCTTGACCTAGCAAAACGCCACAGCCCCAGTGAAAAATGGGGCCACATGGCAGTCAGTGTGGTAAACTGCATTTCCACATTCACTGTCTTAAAGATCGCTAAATCCTACCTATTAAATAAAAAAACCTCTCTGTGGCTTTGCTGCTCAAGATGTTATATTGATTGAAAACTAAGAAAAGTAGAAGTGCTGCCGGTGGCCAGGCAGCTTTACCCCGTATGTTCCGCATGGCGTTGTGCAAGGTAATATGTCAGTTTTCAGTAATGTGATTTTTGCCATGAAACAAAAAAACCCTCCCTTGAGGTAATAACAGGGAGTTGACATCTCTCAGATGTAACTTTCATCTTTCTTTCCATTTTTCTCTTTTGTCCCTGATTTATAGCTCCAGCTGTTTGAATTTTTAGAGGAAGAAGCCACTGAGAAATTCATCTGTGATCATTTACAGTGTGTAAGTGCTTAAGCCTTGAAATAATTCCTTTATGTCGAAATGATCTCACAGGGATCTTCATTCTTTTATAAAGTCTATTTCTAATGATGCTTGTTAAGAAAACCAGGTCATTTCGAGGGCTAAGGAAGGGCAGAAGGAGAGAATGAGAAGCCCGCCTCTCGCTCCTTACAACCCAGAAAGAAGCCGGATCACACACAGGCCCACTCACAAATGCCTCCTTTTCCTTGGCTAATCAAACCCAGAGGGTAATACTTTAGAGGGCAGATAACAGTATTTCTTTTGTGGCAAGAGAGAAGGTTAAAGTAGTTTTCTCTCACCTAATGGATAAAAAACAAAAATAGGAAAAAAAAAAAAAAACAACTAAGGTCCTCGTCTAAGCTGACAAAATGACCATTGGCCCTGAGTCTGACAGGATGGCTTCTGGCCCTAGAAAGGGAGTCCTATTTAATTTCTTCTCTCAGCACAATTCATACAATGTCTTTCACTGCAACAATTCTCCCTCTCCCCACCCAGGATGGGGCGGGGACAAAGCAGAGGGGCAGGGATGATGGAGAGGAGAAGGTGCTTTTCGAAAGAGTCCTCTGTGTAGAAAGAAATAAAAACTGATTTTCTGAAGAATCAGAAACCTACCGTGTTTCCCCCCAAATAAGACACAGTCTTATATTTATTTTTTCTCAAGAAGACACACTAGGGCTTATTTTCAGGGAATGTCTTATTTGTATTAAATATTATACAACAATCTACATTTATTCAAATACAGTTAAATCATCTTCTTCTGGAACCTGACAGGGGGAGCCGACCTTGGTGGGGCTGGTGCTAGTAATGCATGAACTCCTTTCCCCTAGCCATTTGCATGTGTGCAATAGGATGCCTGCAACAGCGATTACCATGCGCATACTGGCGCAAGTGCAAACAGCTCGGAGAAAGGAGCTATGGCAGATAAAAGGTATTTCAGTCTTCCTTACTGCTCTGCGCAGAAATGCAGGGCATGGCTATGCAGATACACATCGCCACACCCATCACTAGGTCTTATGATCAGGGTAGGGCTTATATTTAACAAATGCATAGAAATCCTGCTAGGGCTTATTTGGGGGGTAGGTCTTATTTGGGGGGTAGGTCTTATTTGGGGGGAAACACGGTCTGACATTAAAGCAGAGGGCAATTAGCTGGATAACCATGAAGCTATCAACTGTAGACCATATAGAGACATGAAATGTGATCAGTGAAACTCACTGTTACTTTTTTTTTCAACAGCTATAAAGGCAAACCTTGGGTGGGAGTTCTCAGCCTCACACTAACTGTATAATCCTGCATAAGCAAGTTAGTTCCTCCAGGCCTACCTTCTCCACTATCTTATAGTTTCATTGTTAGCCTGTGTGATAGGCAAAGGGAGGAATGGTCCAAATTCTGTCCCCAGAACTTGTAAACATGTTACATTACATGGCAAAGGAGAATGCAAGTTGCTAGTCAGTTGACTTTAAAATGAGGAGATGACCCTATATCACCCACGTGGGCCCAGTGTAATCATGAGTGTTCTTAAACGTGCAAAAGGAAGGCAGAAGAAGACATCAGAGTGAGGTGACATGAGAAGAGTGCCACCTGCCTTCACTGGCTTTGATGATGGAAGGAGCGGGCCATGACTCAAGGAATGAGGGCAGGGCCTCTAGCAATTGGGAAGGACAAGAAAGCAAATTCTCTTCCCAGTCCTGTTGACGTCTTGAGTTTAGCCCATTAAGACCCATTTCAGACTTCTGACCTCCAGAAATATAAGATGATAGATTTGTATGATTTCAGGTATTAAATTTGTGGTAATTTGTTACGTCTTTATATGAAACTAATAAAACCTGTATGATAGATTGTAAGTACTGGACATGAAATGCTCAGCTAGAAGGCAGCCTCGGGACTCCTTATTGTGGGCACGACATATTGAGTGCGATTATTCTGATACAGAGGATCCATTTAAGAAATTACCCTTGAAGGAATAATGGGCAAACCTCTCCCTTTCTCCACTTGAAAACTGGGAGAGTCTAATTTAATAGGAAGAACTTCCCACATCCACAAGAAATCCTTAAATGTAGGCACGATTGAGTTCAGAGAATCAGAGTTGAAGCTATCACAGGCGTTCCCAGTCTAAGACCAAGAGTTGAGCTGGAATAAGTAATCAAGGGCATGTGCGGAAGTGGACTCCATGATGCAGGTGGCATAGGTACAAGAGTTGAACATGACCTGAGCCACACTGGGGAGGGCTGCCACCACTGGACTAATGAATGGGAACTTGATGGAATATATGGAGGATGCTGAAAAGATGTATACACATTTTAAGACAGTAAAAAAAACTGTATTAGAATTGTAATACTCGTGTCACAATTGACTTCTGCAATTACAAGAGATGCAAGAAAGATAACAAATGTTATTGTAATACCAACTGTTACAATTTGGCACTGTCTGTATATTTCTTTTGAGGGCATCCCCCCAGCACAGGTTGCACATGTGGATTGGCACCCCATTCAGAACTTTACCAACCCCCACCCCACTATCAAAATCCACCAATCCTATAGCTCACTCCATTCGGTTGGAGATCTCCAGCTAGAGGTCTAAGGGCTGCATGGGGGCAGTAGACATTTTGTTATGGGTTGAATTCTGTTCCCACAAAAAGATAACTGAAGTACCTGTGAACAGGATCTTAATTGAACATAGGGTCTTTGCAGGTATAGTCAAGTTACGATGAGTTCATACTGACTCAAGTGGGCCACAATCAAGTAACTGGTATCTTTATCAGAAGAGGGAAAACACCAACATCTGGACCTCAGACTTCTAGCCTCCACAACTCTGAGGGAAGAAATTCCTATTGTTTTAAGCAATTCAAATTTCCAGTAATTGTTTATGGCAGCTCTAGAAACAAATATACCTACCATATATGATCTTCAGTATTAACCCACACAGTGTGGCTTTTAAAAACTTGAATCAAGGAATGTCAAAAACAACCAGGAAATTTCACATAAAAAATCTAGATTGGGGGCTTTGACCTCCAAAATCTGGAAACCTGGCCATATGGGGCCTATATTCTCACATACTTTCAATTTGCTGACATAGGAGACAGCCACCCCATTAGAACAGTTTTGGGGTAGGCAGAACCTTGTCCACATCCTAAGCTCAGAAGCCTGGAAATACAGTAGTTCCCCCTTCCCTGTGGTTTTGCTCTCTGCTGTTTCACTTACCTAAGGTCAACCACAGTCTAAAAATATCAAGTGGGGCAGCACCTGTAGCTCAGTGGGTATACACGGAGGCTGGCAGGTTCGAACCTGGCCTGGTACAACTGCAACCAAAAAAAAAAAAAATAGCTGGGCATTGTGGCAGGTGCCTGTAGTCCCAACTACTTGGGAGGCTGAGGTCAGAGAATCACTTAAGCCCAAGAGTTTGAGGTTGCCTTGAGCTGTGATGCCACAGCACTCTACCCAGGGCGACAACTTGAGACTCTGTCTCAAAAACAAACAAATAAATAAATAATAAAAATAAAAATATTAAATGGAAAATTCCAGAAATAAACAATATACACTACCCACCGACAACTCACTTAATAATAGCCTTCTTAGTTATTGGATTGACTGCTGGGGTGTTGTGATGCTTTTGTTCCAATAATCTGTGTTTTGCTTAGTAATGACCCTGAAGCGTGAGAGTAGTAATGCTGACATATTGTTATAATTGTTCTATTTTTTATTAGGTTTTGCTATTCATCTCTTATTGTGACTAATCTGTAAGTGAAATTTGATCATAGCTATGTACAAATAGACAAAAACAGAATAAACAAGGTTCAGCGCTATACCTGGTTTCAGGCATCCATGGAGGGTCATGGAACTTTCCCTTGAGGGTAAGGGGACAACTGTATGTTACCTCCCTGGTTACACGGATTTGCAGATGTGAATAAGTAAAAGATCTTGAGATGGGTCAGTGAGCCTGGATGGTCCAGATGGGCCCAACTCATCCTAAGGGTCTTTATGACCCTGCAGGCAGGAGAGTCAGAGAAAGACACAGGACCATAGAGGCAGAAGGAGAAAGGCCATGTGATTGGGGCCGCTAGCCAGAGGGAATGGGGACAGTTTCTAGAAGCTGGAAATGGAATCAATCAGCCCTAAAGCTTCCAGCAGGAACACAGCTTGTGGGCGCTTTGATTTTAGCACCGTGAGACCCCTGTTGGACTTCTAACCTCCCAGACTAGGAGATAATCAATTTGTGTTGCTTAAAGCCACCCGCCTGTAGTACCTTGCTACAGCAGCAGCAGGACACCCGGCGCTCCCCATTTCTCTCACACCCTTGCACACATTCATTTCGGTTCCTGTCTGGTTCCTAGGGCACTGGAATTTGTTCTCCTGCCTAAGGGTCTTGCCCCCTGCCGGGTCACAGATCCATGTAGCAAAATAGACAAATTAATCCATAAAGGAAAAAGCATGTATATCTTAGCAAAACTCCTGATACAATGACTTTTAAAAAGGGGCTTTAACCCTGTGCTCCTGGGAAGCCAGCAGGGAGGCCACTCTCCTTGTCAGCAGGGGAGTATTGACATGAAGCTGAAATAAAGCCAACTACTGAGAGGCCCTGCATGTTGGTTAGGTACTTTAGATTTGATCCTAGAGATCGCCGGGAAGCTTCAGAAAGGTCTAAGCAGAAAAGAAACCCGGCCAAGAAAAGAGAGAAGGAGAAATGCCTTAGAGAGGGGCCAATATTAATTTTGCTGTGGATCTAGCATGTTCCAAGAACCCAGGAAAGTACGACACATTAATTACTTCATTTAACTTTCGCAACAAACTTGGAGGAAAGGTTATTGTTTAACCCATGATTGCAGATGAGATTGAAACTCAGAGAAGTCAGTAAGTAGTAGGACTGGTTTTGAATCTAGGCTTTGTCACTCCAACGCTCTTTCTACAAATGCTCTCTGCTGCCCTGAGTTGAATGGTACTGTGAGGAGGGGAGGCTGGAAAGGGGGTTGGCCCGCCCAGAGCAGCACTGAGGTGGGCTAGGAAAGATACACTACCCCTTAGCTGGGATTTGAAGAGAATCAGGTGGTAGAAGGGCAGGAAAAAAATGATAAATCGAATACCAAGAATGACAGTGCTGTTGGCAGGCATGAAGCAAGGAAGGAGAAGGAGTTTGAGAGGAGGAAGACTCAGGGAAACTAGATAGAGCTCTATTCATTTGGCAGCTAAGGGGAATAAAAAACCCTTGGCTGTAAATCCTTGACTTCATACCCATGGGTACATGTATTTGCATGGCTTTTAAGCAAAGGTGATTTTTTTTTTTTTGACTTGTTTCCCAAATAGTTCAAAGGGGAAGGCAGCCATGGTGTCATCCTTTTTCTATACAGCCTGATCTTCTCCAGAACATTTGAAAGGTAAGTTCTACAAATGTTTGCACAGGTATTTCCTATAGGATTGGACTCATATAAACAATGTGATTGTGTTTGAAAATATTGTCATCTTCATATTGGAAACATGAGTACAGTCTCTGGCCTAGCGGATACCCTTCTGCTAACAGGTCCTTTCCTATAGTTCAAGTCAGCACATTTAACCCTGTGGGCCTGGGAAGCCAGTCAGGGATGTCACTCTCCTGGTTGGCCACATCAATGGGCAAACAGATATCGTTAGTCAAGTTTGCGTCTGCGCTTAGAGGACAGAAGCAGCTTCCTTCCTGTGGTTGTAAATATTGGCAGATGACACTAAAGCTCACAAATGTATATATTTTATTATTTAGATTCACAATAAAATGTATCCTCAAATATTTACTTTGTCTCAGTAAGATACAAAAATCACCATGTGCCTGATGGCATCAGGAAAATAGTGTCCTGGGCCAGGCACAGTGGCTCACGCCTATAATCCTAGTACTCTGGGAGGCCAAGGCAGGTGACCTTTATATCTTGAATTCTGTGCAAAGTATAAAGAAAGGAAGGCGTGGCCGGGCGCAGTGGCTCATGCCTATAATCCTCGCACTCTAGGAGGCCGAGGGTGGATTGTTTGAGACCAGCCTGAGCAAGAGCGAGACCCCATCTCTAAAAATAGCTGGGTGTTGTGGTAGGTGCCTATCATCCCAGCCACTTGGGAGGCTGAGGCGAGAGAATCACTTGAGCACAAGAGTTTGAGGTTGCTGTGAGCTATGACACCAAGGGTGACAAAGTGAGACTCTGTTTCAAAAAAATAAAATAAAAACAAAAAGAAGGGAAGATGTGGCTCTGGCCTCCTGCACATTCCTTCCTGTCTGGGAAAGGCAAGTGGTTAACATAAAATTGCCAGGCAAGTTCTGCAATGCCAAACGAGGCGTACAAACGGTAAGTCTTAGTGGATTCCAGAAGAAAAAGGCTTCCCTGCAGACAGAGTAGTCAGCGAAAGCTTCAGGAAAGAAATAGACTTTCTTCTGGGCCCGGAAAGAAAGACAACATTTTGAGAGTCAAAGAAAGAGATAGCGAGCTCTCGGGAGGAATTGCAAAGCCTAAAGCAGGGTTCCCTAACCTTGTCATTTATGTAGCACTGTCACATTGCTGTGGTCTATGTTACCATTTGCTTAAAACAGCTTTCTTTAAATCAACACACATTTAAATATCAACCTCGTCCTAAACATTAATATCTTTTATAATATATTGTATATAAAATATAATATCATGTGCTATCTAAAGATAAAACCTATTAATGCATCACTATTAAACTTGTAAAATCTTCTTATCTATACCCCCCTGAAATCATACCATCCTTTGGGAAACATTGCCCTAAGCTGTATCTGGGCATGATTAACCCACATCTGTAAGTCTCATTCACAGAAGGGCATGACCTCCAGACCTGTGAATATATTCATTCAAGAACATATACAGCTCACATACCAGTACTCAGCACGTCCCTCTGGGTGACAACAGGAGTCACATCCAACCTTGACTCTATATTGTCAAGGGTAAGACCCTGGCCCCTGACATAACAGTGGAGGTGACCCTTCTGCAGCCAAGGCATGGTCTCAGCAGCCGCGCTGCTGGTTTTCATCTGTTCAGCCTTGCCTTGGGCCAGCACTCTAAGGTGGGGTCATGTGTCACCACCCTGAGCCAAGCATTCCTTGTCACCTAGAGCAAACACCTTCTCTGCTGAGCCCAGCAGCCATGCAAAGCACATACACTGGGATTCTTTTTCTTTTTTTAAAATTTGGGGTTCATATAATGGTACTTACAATTAGGTTATATCGTTTGTGTTTGTTAGGTAACGCCAGAGTTGTAGTTGACTCCTCCACTCAGAAGTGTGCCGTACACCCCTTCATTGTACCTGTTAGGACACATCAGGATTCTAATGTAACTTCTCCCTGCTCCCACATCACTCGGCAGCTCTCCCCCCACTTGCACCCACAGATTCCCAGTGACCTCTGTAGCCCAGTCCCAGGGGGTCTCCCCATGACAGATGGAACCGTGCAAGGTGCTTAGGCAGGACAGTGCCCATGAGGACCACGCACTGCTGTGTTGTGTCAGGGCTGGAGGGAGGAGAGGACTCAGGCTTCCAGCCTGGCCATGGTCTCTGATGGCTTCCCCTCCTCTGCAGGCTTCAAAAGGACCTAGACGTCACCACCACACATCTGTTACGACCAAGTGCTGGAGGCTTCTTGTGTACGCAGGTGGGTTGGGAGACTTGGCCTTCCTACTATCGAATCCAAATTAGGCTTGTTTTCTAATTAAGTGTATTCTCTCCTTAAGGACATGTTATCTTTGAAAGACTAAAAAGATGAATCTGAATTGTGTCAGAATATCCACTTTCCAATTTGTGTAACAGTCCTTCCTTGTTTACCTCTGAGAGCCCTACATCCCTGCGATTCTAGAAACATCAGAAAATACCTTGAAAGGGCCCACCAGGAATCCCTAATAACTGGGGGGAAATGCTGATAAAAGCTATGCAGACATCTTAGCTTTCTGCTTCTTAAATCACAGCCATGGAAACCAATGTTTAAAAGAAGGGTGAAGGGAGGAAGGCCAGTAAGATCAGAGTGGGGGACACAGGGAACGCTGGGGTGAGGTTCAAGGAGAAAGTCACTGAACAATGGCTTTAACTCTCCCAAATGTTTAGGACATAATATATTAGTATAGAATTCCAGAATTATATACAGAATAATTTCAGTAAAAATACTCATTTTTTAAAGAAAACAAAAATTAAGTCCTTTCATTGCTAACTGAAACATAGATATTTGTAAAATATGCCATCCAGGCAGTTCTGAACATGATTTTAACTGGAAGGGCAAGTCCCAATGTCTTCAACGGCTGCGAGAAAGGACAGTCTCAGGAAACTTTGCACGGAGTCCTGACCCGCAGTGACATTGGCTATTTGCAGTGGGGCAAGGACACTTCGGAAGATGACAGACTGTCCCAGGTGAGTGTGTTCCGACCCTCAGCCACGCTACCAGAATGTCAGCGTTTTAGCATTTTTTAAGTCCCCTATTAAGATAAGTAAAACCCGAGCCTACCTTTCCCTTTACTGCCTTCCTGCAAGCCTCCTTCCCACCACGCACGGGGACACGAGGGCTCTAAATGGAAATATCTGTCTCTCTGCTTTGCGTTCTCTTTAACGTGGTTTTATGTCTATAGGGTACAGCTAATATAAATAATACATTTTTAAAAGTCTGTAGCCATATTTGATGGCATATAGTGGGACATGAGGGAAAAAAAACAAACTCTGTTTGAAATGTGCTTTAAGAGAAGGCCAGCCTTTGCCCCCAGACCACCTTCTCCGAAATAAATCCTGCTGGCAGTGGGAGGATGTCCTCCCAATCTTTTATTTATACCAATGAATGCACGTAGTCTACATATTATCCCAAGCTTTATGGAAAAAACACTGAATAAAAAAGGGAGGCCCGACTTGTGAAACTGCTGTCAAAAAGCTTTCAAGCTCAAGGGGTTCACGACCTCCGGCAACTAGAAAGTAGACCGCCCTGTTGAAAAGCACAATGGGAGAACTAAATAGACGTGATTCTGCAAAAACAAATAGGAGAGAGAGTGGGGAAGCAAACAGACCCCGCCCGGACCACAAGGCAAATCTGCTTCTGTGATATTTTTCACGAAAAGTTGCATCCTAAAACCTAGGAAGGCGAGGCAGATTCTACTAAAAAGCAACACTTCTCTGGAGTGGTTGTAAAAGGAAAAGGATGTAATTCAATAGGCTGGGGGGTGTAAAAACCCCAGACGTTCAGGTCCCAACCTCTTCTGACCACTGGCAACAGACAAGGCCTCCCTACTTCGCACCTGTCCTGTTCTCTGGCTCTCCCGCTTCCAGCTCAAAATGCCTTCTAGGTTTACAGGATTTCACATTTCACAAGGTACCGTCACCCTTCTCAAGATACCTTCACGTAATATCGTCATCTGACTTTCCCCCTCCTCTGTGTTATCCAGGAGATCAGCAACACATACATACCATGTGTGCCTGGTGGCATCCGTAAAATAGTGTCTTGGGCCAGGTGCAGTGGCCTATAATCCTAGCACTCTGGGAGACCGAGGGGGGAGGATTGCTTAAGCTCAGGAGTTTGAGATCAGCTTAAGCAAGAGTGAGATCCTGTCTTTATGAAAAATAGAAAAAAAAAATTAGCTAAGCCTTGCAGTGGGCGCCTGTAGTCCCAGCTACTGAGGAGGCTGAGGCAGGAGGATCACTTGAACCCAGGAGTCTGAGGTTGCTGTGAGTGAGGCTGATATCAACCACAGCCCTCTAGTCTTGGCAACAGAGAGACAGTCTGTCTCAAAAAAAAAAAAAAAGGAAAATCAAGTCTTGACTATAGGAGAACTGGCACATTTTGTGTACAAATAACGTTTTAAAGTTTATTACTTGAGTTTGCAATTTTGACCCATCATAGAAAAGTGAGAAGTGATAAGGTAGGAGTCAAAGAAATAAAGTCAATCCTGTTTCCCTGGAGTTACTCTTTTCAGAAACACTTCTTTCTCTTTCTCTTACATCTTTATGACTTATTCCAATCTCCTGAAACCTACTATTCTCACTTACCATGAATATCGTCACATGTTGACAGATATATGACCTTTATTGTATTTAACGGATGCAAAGAGTCCCTCCGTGTGAACGGGAAAGCCTGTACTTTGAATACACCATGGACAAAGAATGGACTGGTTATTGTTATAAAATTCCTAATCCCTTTTACAGATAACTGAGGAATTTATCTTATGTAACGAAGAGAGAAACTAAGCCAGAAATACTTAGGAGAGGCATATATTTCATTGTACATAATTTTTATAGTTTTCTTTCAACAATGCATGGTCACTTGGTATCTATGGTCTAACATCCTTATGTGTCACAGCCCGATAATATGCCGAGACTCATTCTGGAAATAAATGGAGGGGTATACTCTAGAAAAATGGAGCAAGTTTCAGGGGTAGGGACACAAAAATGACAACAGTAATTTTGGAGTTTTGTCTGTTATCACAAAAACTCTTTCACGGTGCTACTTCACTAGATCCTCACTATAAACTGGAAAGACCGATCCAGTCGGTAATTCATGAGCTTTGCCCCTTCTCTGCCACCTCTGCAGTGACCTCCTTCATGTTTTCCTTTAAATCAACTGATTTAAAATTTGGTTCTAACCTTTTCTGCAGCAGTATATATATATATATATAAGCCATGGGCTTGATGTGCTAGCTGCTTTTCTCCTTGATAGATATTTAAATAATAAATAAGTGCCTGTTTTTTAAAGTGCGTTCTCTGGGCCACCCACTTTCATGGCACAAGCCGCCAATAAGCCTGCACACTTCTTGGAAACCTGCTGTAATGGTGCTGACGTTCCACAGCACATGCAAAGTCACCCTGGCCTGGGAATCAGCAGACTTGGTGGGTGGCCTCACCGGGCCACTCAATGTGTGTCTTGCACAAGTTGTACCCTCTCCACGCCCGTTTCCTCATCTACAAACTAGGTATACCCATGTACACCTGCCCCACAACCTGAGGAGCAAAGGAAGTCGCCAATGTCAAAGCTCATGGGAAAGACAGAAAGTCCTCTAGACACGGGAGACTTTGTAACAGAGATGACAAGGAGTAACTTCATAGTACTTTATTCAGCCGTGTTCATTTGGCATCATGAAGCTCTGTGACCAAACACAAAGGTGAGTCATACCTGGACTGATACCATAACCCGGGACACACTGATTACCGTAGGAAGGTTACAGGCAATAAATCCACGAGCGCAGTGATGTCAGCCCTGGCTGCACAGTGAAGTCACCGGGAGCGGGTTATGAACGATTACTGCTCAGCTCCCTCCCCGCTCCCGCTCAGCTCCCTTCCTGAGCGTGAGGCCTGTGCAGTCAAACAAGGCCCCAGACTTAAAGGGCTCCACACCTGGTTTAATGCTCCGGTGTCTTGAGTCACTACCTTGAAATTGTTCATAATTTTTGAACGAGGGCCCTTGCATTTTCTGTTTGCACTGGGACCCACAAATTATGTAGCAGGTTATGACCGAAGACGGTTTTATTTGGTGTGGGGAACCCCTGGATATCTGAAATTGTTAAAGCCCCGGTGAATGTAATGTACGGCAAGGATTAGAAACTTCTTTCAAAGCAGAACTTCTAACCTCGATACTGCTGACATTTTGGGCTGGGTGATTCTTTGTTGTGGGGACTGTCCTGTGTGCCCTAGGCTGTTGGAAAGCATCCCTGCCCCCTCTACCTTCCAGATGACAAAGCCACTGCCCCCAGTATGACAATCTAAACTGTCTCCAGATATTTCCTGATGTTCCCTGGGGGACAAAATAGCCCTTACTTGAGAACCGCTGCTCTGCAGGAAGGAAAAGAAGAAACCTCTTTGGGATTTCTCTGATTAAAGCCACGGTGTGCCAAACTGGGCCACTGGCTATTTCAACCGAACTTACAAGAAAGAAGGTTATCTTCTCGCAGTCAGCATCAGACAGGTGGTCAGCTTTCAACATTTGCAAAGCTTAGGAAACAGGTTTCAGGCTTCATCTTAAATTAGCATTAAACAGGTGTTTATGAAATAGCTACTAAGTTGCTCTGAGAAAAGGGACTGTATCCACCAGAACAAGAGACAGAGAGAGCACCCCCCAGAGAGTCAAGACCTCGCAGGGAGTTGGCGCTACTATTTTCTCTGGATCACATTTCTTTCCATACAAGTCAGCTCAGACTAATAGAGGTGCCAAACCGTGCTCTGCAGAAAATTACCTGCAAAGCCTAAAATACCCTCCAGTGATAAAGTGGATATTTGCTGGGACGTTAAAGTCAGACATGAGGCCAGAGGACAAGGTAAAAAGTAAGAGCTTTCCTGCTGGGAAGAGGCAAAATGTATCCAACAACAGGACCACCTTCCAAATGTGTGTTCACGCAGGGAAGTCGGGCACAGGATGGAGACTCCTGGGTTAGCTTTGAAGTCTACATAGAAATCAGCTCCACGGTGCTTCCATCTTCCAAAAAACAACTAAGGTGACTTTTTATCCTTTTTTCCTGGACTCAGCATTCTCTCCCCCAGGGATGTGCCTGTGAATCCTGCCCTCCGTGAAAATTGCCTGAAATTGTACACTAATGGCTCGAAACCCCGAGGATGTTTGTTATGTCATCTCTGTCGTGCACTTAGAGTGTGGTTTCAAAAAGAAAAAATGTATCACAGATCAAATACAGGTTGGCAGGTAGTTTTCCTACTTGAACTCCTGAGATAGCTGAGTATGTTAGATGGATGCATATGGAGGGGATTTCCCTGAAGGCACGTTTTGATTCTTTCAATATCAGTTCATTGTTTTGGGATAAAAGCCATTCCTAATTCATATACGGGTATGTTATTCAAATACTTTCATACACACATGTGTGTGTTTCTCACCATTGCTGGCAGATGGTAATTAACAGACACCCATGTGAAGCTTATTTATTTCAGTGCTGATGACCCCGTGCATGCATGTGCCAGCCCCTCTGTCAGCCACATGTGACCATACCTTATTTCATTCCATCCTCCACTTCCACTCCAAGTTGTACAGTGTTACTATAAGTCCAATGTCCGTTGCCTGGTCATTCATTTTGGAGATGAGAAGAGCCAGGCTGAAGGACATATAGGAACTTACGCAAAGCCACCAGCTAGGCAAGCGTCAGATCCAGGGTTGTGAACCCAGTCCCTTCAACATTCAGCGCTCACCTTCCATCCACTGCGCCCTGCTGCCTGCCATCATCATCTTTGTTTTCTAACGAAGGAGTAAACCATAAATGCCAGTTCTTGGAATTGTATTCTATCATCAGTGCTTTCATAATCTATTGTATATAGATATCGATTTATATTAGTGCATATCAATAGGTACACTGACGTTGGACTATCATACTTAGATGTTGACAAATCACCGTGAGGTTTTTAATGCACGACAGTCGTGCTCAACAAGCCACAAGTTCCCCTGCTGACTTCTAGGTTAAAGCAGGTATGAGTTTGTGTTGACCGTGAGTTACAGGTACTCGGGGTGTGTACCCTGTCAGCTGGTGCTTGCCCTCCTTTACCTCCTGGTTTGGCAGATTGCATCCGTCAGGTGTAAGGAAATCCTCAGCTCTAGGAGGACAAGTGCAGTGTACTCAGAAACAGGCTCCCCAGAGACCACCTGGCTGCACTGCCGTGTGCCCAGGAGTCTAGCATTTCAACATATCCTAGCAAACAATGGAAACACCTTGCAGAACAGAAGTTTGCTTGAGAAAGGACAGGATGGGGTTCTAGGACAGTGCTGTGAGTATCACTGGACTGAAGACTCCCAGAAGCCACTGCCCTTTCCTTCTTGCTCTAAGGCCTGATGATTCTTCTCAGGACCCTTGAAAGTGCCAACTATGTATATGAGTGTTTTATGGGTATTTAGTGGCTCTGCCCAGGATCGGTATGACAAAGGAGACGATATGTATATAAGGATAATACAGATCTAATATAAGAAAGATTTCAGAGTTCCAAAGGAAACCAACATGCTGCCTGACAGCTCAAGGTGAAAGCCATCCCAATGCTGCCTCTATCTTCCCTAAGCAAATCTCTTCTTGCTCTGCAATAAAACTGCAGAGATTGCAGAAACACACATCTTTCAGTCCCAATGTTACAGCCCAGTGGGTGATATTTAAAAAAAAATAGATAGAGTTCTCATTAGATGGCATGTCAAGACCCCCCCAACCCCCCGAGCCCACCAGACTCACGATTCCTGCAGGACACAGCCAGCTACTCACAAGATGAGACACTATTTTGAAGCTTCCCTGTTCCTTTTCTATTTGAAGGTACAGGTTTGAGTGTGAGGTTCCAATACCTAAGTGAGAACATAAAGCAGTTTGAGTCTAACACCATCTGGAAAGCCTTGGGAGGTTCACATTATCTTCACACCTGCCACTGAGAAGAAAAATCAACTCTGATGTTTAGAAGGGACAGAAGCCATTTAGGTCTTGCCAGAATCACTCCCACGGCAGGCTTGGCAGTGCACACCACCATCCCGGTTGCTCCTCCTTCCGTCTGTACCTTTTCCCTTTAGAGAGTCGGATAGGAAGAAATCTCACCGTAAAAGTACCAAGGCACCTCTACGCACTGCACTCTGCCACCAAGTCACGGAGGCAGCGCCCTGCAAACACGAACCGATTTGTCTTTACAGCATACCTGCAAACTCAGTGAAAGAAGTTACATCAAGTCTGTATTCCAGGTGGCAAAGATGAGCGCCAAGCCATTAACAGTTATGCACAGGAATTGTCACCAGGAATCAGCAAATACAGCACACTGTATCCAACACCTTTCTCCTGTTCAGATGATCAGCCAGGGGCCTGGGGACTTGCAACATCAAACTCATTATGCAAAGGCACATCCTGAGCACCATTGCTCTAGAAGCATGAAAAAAGAATTATGTGGACTCAATTTTCACCCTCTAGTATGTTGCAGGTGCCCATCCTCCATCCCATCCTTGTAATTTTACATTGGCTTAAATGACATATGCTATGAAAGGCTTGCTCACTGCATGTAATGCTGAAACTATTGGGCTTATTACACAATGAGTGAACTTAAGGAGAAAGGTATTTTATTTATAGAACCACTGTATCGCAATTTAATTTCCTTTTTACCATGGCAACATGAGGCAACATGCACAAATTCAGCATTGGTGGAATCTCACCAATAAAACATATTTAGAACCTTGCGTCGGGAGGAGGGTAGTAAATTGTGTCTATCCAAAAGCAGTACAAATGCTTTAAATGAAAAATTCCAGCCACTGCTTATATGATATCCCAAGATAAGAGGGGGATGGGATATCTGGCTGGATTCGATTGGTGCTTTGTTGTGATTCTACAGGGCACACATTCATCCAGATGTGTTCCCAGCTGTAATCTTAAGGCTGGCCTCTTAGAGTTAATACCCAGTGGGCCCTGGCAGTCATGCATGACATTCCCTTAGTGCCAGAATCTCTCCAAAGCAAGCAAGAAAAAAAAAAGGAAACTATTGCATTATGGCACAAAGTAACACTTGTGGGGTATCAGCACCTGCCACCAGAGGGTCAGTGCCAGCTGAATTTCACCTACATTAAAAGTATTCAGTGAAATAATGTCCTATGGGTATATATTCTATCCCATCCACCCAGACATCATTTACAGGGACTTTGATTAATTTAAAATTGACCAGACTACCCTCTGAAATTCAAACAGAATGACATGTTGTTATTATTATTATTATTTGAGACAGAGTCTCAAGCTGTCACTCTGGGTAGAGTACTGTGGTGTTACACCTCACAGCAACCTCAAACTCTTGGGCTTAAGCGATTCTCTTGCATCAGCCGCCCAAGTAGTTGGGACTACAGGTGCCTGCCACAACGCCTGGCTATTTTTTGTTGCAGTTGTCATTGTTGTGTAACTGGCCCAGGCCGGGTTCGAACCTGCCAGCCTTGTATATGTGGCTGCGCCGTAACCACTGTTCTACGGGCGCCAAGCCATAATGACATGTTATTACAAACAGTCTTCAATGTCATTAATTTATCTGAGTTTTTCAACCTTAATAATTCCGTGTCACCCTGCCTATCATATTTTGATCATCTATGTATAATCTCAGTACAGAAGGGGGCCACAGCAAGCAGTCCTGAGACAGAGAGTGCTGGCAACTAACTCATGCAGGGTGACAAAGTTATTTGGAACTTAGAGGTAGATGCTTGGAATTTAAACCCCTGGGGCTGCTTCAGTGGCACATCCTCTGTGTCTAATTCAGATGTAGCTGCTGGGCAGACTTGCCATGTGAGATGCTTCCAGTCCACTCGCCAAGAGGGACTGATTCCGCTGTGAGTGGACAGGTCAAGCCTCACTCACTGTGAGCAGTGGGGTGAGTGGGGGGGACTCATCTCGCACCTTTTTCTAAACTACCAACCAAAGCTGAGGTCATTTCCTTTAAGCACAGTGACAAAATTTTTGTATGGCAGCTAAAAGTAAAACGCTTAAAAACTAAAGCATCTCTGATTCACCCACTCGCCCACAACTAAAGAGTCTGAACTGAGGAAAACAAAGAGATTTGAATGGGACTATTGAGCAATCAGAATGTCAAGTTATTGGGCTTTAATACTCGGGTTTATAAAACACGTGATAATTTCTCAAAGCGGGATTTCCCACCAACAGAATGGACTCAGAAGAAACACAGAAGGGCAACGTCGGCTCCTTCAGTTAGAGGAAGGAGGCGGAGCGAGGGCCCTAGTAACTCTCCTGGGCATGACGTGGAAATCGTGGGTTTTTTCATGCAGCTCGTGTGTATCTCTTCGAGTAGAAAAAAATTTGTCTTAATGAATTTTGATGGAAATCTTTTTTAAAAACTATGTGCTTCCTTGCCTCTCTAAACAAAACAATGGGTATCAATTGCAGAAATTAACTATAATATCATGACCCCTTCAGGGGCTACTGAAGTGTGCAGGGCCACTGTCCCTTCACTGCAGGGCAGCCCCAGGGTGGTGGTTTGTGAATCTGATTTACTGTCCATAAGAAGGAAAGCCTCAATTGACAGTCACCTGGAAAAACAAATAAGGGGCTTGAAATAGTAATATTCGATGGAGTGCATAGTATTAAATAGCACCCTCTAAGAACATCTCAGAACCGTTACCCTGTAGATATAGGTGTGTAAGTGTGATATGTGCGTGATTCCCCTCATTTTCCAGAAGTTTTTCTTCTGTATTAAAATGGCTGGTGTTTCTAGAAGTCTGACCACCCCCTGCTCTGAATGAAATTTTGTCTTATCTCGAGAACAGGAGCAAATACACTAACCCACCACCAAGACAGAATGGGAATTCTCTTATTCTACCCCACATTTAATTTCACTTTATCTGCTTACGAGCATTCTTTTCTAAGCTGTCCCAGAGGCCACTAAAAATGTTTTTAAATGTAATTTTTTAACAGAAAAGGTGCAGCATCGCCAGTGTGCCAGATCATTGATAAATGCAAATTCATTCATGATGAAACCTTCGTTTCGGATCTGACTCTAAGTGCAGTGTCCTGCACAGCTACAAGTGCGACGAGAGGCCTCGGCGCTGCTTTCTGGTCATGAGGCTGTGTCAGCATCTGTCGCACGGAGGTGAAATCCGTGTATTCATCTGCATTCCCCTCTCCCCTCCAGGTGGGCAGCATGCTCAAGACTCCCAAATGGCCCGTTTGGCTGTGCAACATCAATGGAAATTACAGCGTCCTTTTTTGCACAAACAGGCAGCTCTTGTCAGACTGGAAAATGGAGCGTCTCTTTGATCTGTGCTTTTACAGCGGCCAGCCCTGGCAGAAAAAGCCTGTGCATCTTACAATAGGTGAGTGTCTCAGACCCCAAGCGCTGTGTACTTTAATGTCCTCAAAGAGCCGTGGCTGCCGGTGTTTAACAACTGTGTGGATACTCACGCCAGCCTTGCAGGAAAACACTCAGGCTCAGCTTCCGGAACAAAACACATGCATGGAGCCCACGGGCCAAGCCTGAGCATTGCAGTGTGGGGATTCTAAACCTGCTTACATGGTGGGCAGGGCTGGGAATCAGCCGGAGGAGCAGAGGGCTTTCAGGTAAGAGAAGAAACGAAAGGTAAGAGTCAAGTTTCCAGAAAGCTTTCTGCAAGGCCTTTCATCTTTGAGCATGAGATAGTGAATAACCGAGGAAAGAGTTGGAAAAATAAAGGGGAGAAAGACTCCAATTGGCTAATTCCATCCCCCAACCAAACACCAGATGACCACCCAGTGACATAAGTAACCAAAGCAATAGTGCATTTCTGTTCAAATTGGTTCAAGACACATGTTTGAGGGCCTACTATGTGCAGACACCCTGAGCTGGGCACTGAGAAGACGAGGATGAGTAAGGGGCCGTCCCAGCAAACCGGGAGGCTCCAGTCCATGGGAGATGCAGAAAACCAAATAAGTCCTCTCATTGCACCATACTCCTTTTGTTTTAAGACAGGGTCTCACTCTGTCACCTGGCTAGAATGCAATGGCATCATCACAGCTCACTGCAACCTCAAACTCCTGGGCTCAGGTGATCCTCCTGCCTCAGCTTCCCGAGTAACTAGAACTACAAGGGCGTGCTACCATATGCAGCTAATTTCTGAACTTTTTGTAGAAATGGAGTCTTGTTGTGCTTCTCAGGCTGATCTCAACTCCTAGCCTCAAGGGATCCTTTTGCCTTGGCCTCCCAAAGTGCTAGGATTACAGGTGGGAGCTGCCGTGCCTGGTCATAATCATACTTACTCGGAAAAAAGACTAACCTTAAGATGTCTTTAAACATTGGGGGCACGGAACAGGTATTAAAAGGGGACAGACTGGGAGTTTGTCCACAGTAGCCCTGGCTCAGTTTAAGGCGACTTGCTCAGGTCTAACTCTTCACGTTCAACATCCCAGACCTGGCATTAAGTAATCGCCCGTTATCGTCACCCCATGTGGACAAGTATCTCAGCAACTATATTATCTGTGCAGCCCCCACTTCTTTTCTTTAATTATGACAAACACACATTAGCTAATTTATTTCAGTGTGACACTGACAGTATGCTCTTGAAATATATCATTTCTACTTTAACTTTTTTTTTTGAGGAAAACATCCTTTCTTTATCAGCACACAAATATCATACACATTCTGTTGTGGACTCTGAGCAGCCCATAATATATAGTTAGTAATTGAGTAAATGAGGCTTGGGGATAGATGTTAGGTACCTTTTCAAAAGTCACCTGGCTTCTATGGAAGAGGCAAATCCAGACTCTGAACCCAGTTCTTGAATAGCCCCCTAGGATGCCCCACCCTCTACTCGGAATGCAAACGTTCACCTAGAAGCACAGACAAGCACTGAGCTTTGCCTTTTGCTGTGTTTTCCAGCAATATCCAGTTACCTACTCCTAGTTCAACTTACCAATGTTAACCTCCCAAAATATACAATGATTCAGGTTACAAGTAACTTACTCCGTATGGGGCATTTGACATCCCATCTCCCGGAATCCCCCTCGTCTTAACCTGTTGTAGGAGCACACCTTGTGGAGCCCAGCTCCTGGCCACCTACCCGCTCATCCTTCTCACTTTCTCCAGAATGGCACCTGCAGGCTTGGGTCTAAATCCTGGCTGTTTCCTCCTCAGATACTCACTCCCATCCCTGGGAAAGGCACCAACAGGAAGATACACACGGAGGAGGAAGACGGTTCTCTCCGGTGGAGATGACGATCAGAACCAAATGGAAAGAGGCCACCATCAACTGGGATGGAACTGTTCCCTTTTTCTAAAGAGAAAACCGGGCTACCTGATGAAGGCTGAGGTGTCAGAACTGCCGGAAGGCCAAAGCCTAACATGGTTGTGGGGAGCAGAGACCAGTCATTGCTCCACTCCTCATTCAGGAGCTCCAAGAAAAAATACCATCCGCAGGGTTTCCATTGTGTTCTCTGGTAAACCCTTTGCTATCAGTACTATTTGCTGGCTTTCTACAATTGCATAGACCAATTTCTTTGCTGCATTCAAAAGAGAAAATGAAATCTCTTTTCTGCATGCTTTTCCAAATTAGTCTTTTCTTGGTGTGAGGATTATGGAAATAGTCATAATCCTTCCATGAGGATTCTGGGAGCAGGCAGCTGGCTTTCATTTGGGGATGAAGTCATCGGCCGTGCAGCAGCAGATCTGAAGCTATGGCAAGAACGCAAGCCTTCTAGAGACGTCCTGGTAGGGACAGCATTCCTTTCCACGGATACGTTTCAATGCCCACGTTAGCATGTTCCTGTCATTAAAATAGTAAATGAATGGATTCCTTTGGGCTGGAAGCCGGGGCTATTCCTGGTCCAGTGGCAGCCACAGCAGTTGACCAGGGTTCAAGAAGTCACGGCCAGCAGACAATCAGACAGGAGGAGATATTCTTTCTACATGTGCTGTGTTTGTTTCTTTCTTCATATGCTGGGTATGAATACCCAGATAAACAGGAAAAGCCTAATTCCTACATCAAATAAAATTACATACAAAAGGAAACTCTTCTTATGTCATTGTTCAAAGGGGAGAACAATTTTATTCAGAATATGTGTATAATCTTCCCTGTCCTGTTAAATGCCTACTTTTTTCCCCGGAGAGATTCACAGAGTTAGACACAGTCTATCTAAAGGGCACGTGAGAACCATTTACACGTTTTTCCTCCTCTCCCCCCCACGTGTCTGCGGACTCACAGACTTGAGGCTTGATATTCACAACACGAAGGTTAATTCTCAAAGAGCTTTTCTGGGTTCATTGTCCTAAGTAATTTATTAAATGAATTTGGCTCAGAGAATAAGGTGTTAAGGAGGATGTAGAGAATGAAACTACACAGTAAATAATAAATTATGTCAAAAGACAAAAGGCAATTTGGCTTGAATTGCTGATTATAGTGTCTTTATCATCGGTGTTTTCACTTGGGATTTTAAAGACATTCTACAAATGAATGGATTTCTACAGACCGTGGTCTTATTTGGTCTTAGTCTTAGCCATATAATGCCCTTCCCGACGTGTGGGCCTTTTTCTTTTGGTTTTGTCTGTCTGTTTGTTTTTATGGACACTGAGTTAGTTCGTACTACGTTATCTCTTTTGGAATTGATGGTTAGAAGACCTAGGGCCAAATGAGGAGCCAGGCTGAGTGCGTCAGTGAGGAAGGGCTCAGCTGTAAGGAAGAGATCTCACTAAAAGTCTCCAACAATAGAGACACTCCTGCTAACAAGAATTGGCAGGCTTGGGGACCTATGAGTCTTAGACTAACCTCTGTGATTGAGAACGAAACATTTGATATTGGAACAAAATCAGGGTTCTGTAGAGGGAAGGCGTGTAGGTTGGTCTTTAGGTAAACAGCCAGCAGTGTATGGCTGGCAGTGTATTGGTCCTTACAAAAGGCATTTTAAAAGTTGACCTCATTCCTGTGTCCTTTTTCTGTTCCTGCCCTTATCTTTGAATTTTTTACTTGTTTATAATTTATGTTAGTTTTCCATTATTTTATATGTTGTTGTTATAATTTATCTGTGTTAAATTATTCCTGAAACAAGTCTATAAAGAAGATAACGGGGAAAGACTATGTTTCATATGTAAAAATATAATAATTTGACATAAAGTTATTAATCACTATCTGTATCAGTGTTCAGTGGAATAAGTTTTTACTTTATCTTATAAACAGAGCACCCATGCCAGGTGTGGTGGCTCACGCCTGCAATCCTAGCCCCTTGGGAGGCCGAAGCAAGAGGACTGCTTGAGGCTAGGAGTTTGAGACCAGCCTGGGCAACATCGTGAGACTCATCTCTATTAAATAAATACTCAGTGCCACAGAAATAAATGGGGCACCCAGTAATACTTGATATTTTTTCAAGGTAGAGATATGTTATTTATAAATAGCTAATAGCCAGTCTGGGCATAGTGGCTCACACCTGTAATCCCAGCACTCTGGGAGGCTGAGGCGGGTGGTTTTCCTAAGCTCAAAAGTTTGAGACCAGCCTGAACAAGAGCGAGATCCTGTCCCTAAAACCAGCTGGGCGTTGATGTGGGTGCCTATAGTTCCAGCTACTTGGGAGGCTGAGATAAGAGAAGCACTTGAGTCAAAGAGGTTGCTGTGAGCCATGACACCACAGCACTCTACTGAGGGCAACAAACTAAGACTCTGTCTAAAAAAAGAAAAAAAAAAACAATAGCTAGTAGCCAGGTGTGATGGCTTACACCTGAAATCTCAGCATTTGGGGAGGCTGAGGCAGGAGGATGGCTTGAAGTAGGTTGCACAGAGAGGGAGCAGGAACAGTCAAGAACGACTCCGAGGTTTCTGATTTCTGGTTTGGATGAAAGGTAGTGCCTTCACTGAATTTGGAAACATTAAAAGAACACCAGATTTGGAGAGGAAGAAATCACAAGCCCTGTCTGAAGGCACGAAACATTCATGTGAAGAAGTAGACTAATGGATTAAAAATAGGAACCGGAAATCAAAAAAGTTTGAACCAGAGAAATGAATACATTTGGGGAGGAGTCACTGACAGTCCATGATGGTCTGGGATAAAACTACCTAAAGAGAGCACGAAGCAAGACGTGCTGGGCCTAACACTGAGCCCTGAGGATTCCAATGCTGGCAGTCAGGCAGAGCGTCATGAGCCTGAAATGGAGGCTCAGAAGGAGCGGCCAGAGACCCCCGAGGAAAGCCAGGATTGGGTTGTGTCTAGAAACCACACCCTACAAATGAGGGCAAGAATTTCCCCTGTTAATCATCTGGTGAAGGGGGGAGGCAGGCCTGGGGAGAAGGAAGAAAGGGTCTCCTCCCCTAAACCCCCTTGCCAGAGTTGGAGGCCCGCATGGCCCGGACCAGCTGTGGGGATGCTGCCAAGTGGCCAAGAACTTGGCAGCACCCCAAAGGGCTTCCTGTAACAGACAGAGCAAGGAGAAGCGAAATGTCCGGTCTTCCTGCATTCTAACGCCATTGTGTTTGAAGTCAGGTGTTAAACAGTCTGGACTGATATGCTCTGTGCTTTGGGGAACTAAGACAGGACCCATTTCACATGGGGAAATACCTGGAGAAGCCAGTCTTGGAAGCAAGAGGTCTCCCAAGAAGCCAAAAGCAACAGAATGGAATAGAATGCCAGCTAGAGGACATGGTAGGAGGGAAACACATCACTCCAGGGAAAAGAAAGAACCACAGAGAAAAAAAAATTATACTCAGGATGGAGGCACCCAACCTCGTAGGGTGCAATTCTAGATGAGTTTATAACTTAGGTGAGGAATTAAACCCATTTCTATCAGGCTTGACATTGATACAAAAGCACTTACCCTGATCTCAGGAAAATCAATGGCAAATGCATTGAAGAAACATATTCTGGCATAAAAACAAAGAATATTATTCTAGCTGTCGAGGGCTATCTGGATAAAAGATATTTTTAGTCAATGATTCTTTACGTTAAAATCAACCAGAGAGGATCAGTTTGAATGAATTTAACGAGGTTTTTTTTTTTTCAGGATATCCAATTTATCTTGGCTCTGTCGAATATATTCATACCTTATTTCCTTCCATAAAGGACTTGGGGTGGTTGGTAACCCTGTAAACTTTCCGGAAAACTTTCTGTCTTTTCAGTGATTTGAACCAAATTAAAAACAAAACAAAGGAAAAAAACCAAAAAACAAAAAACCTTTTCACTACTGTCCACAAGGTGGTGCTAGGAGAGTGACTTTTCAATCTTAGCTACCAAATAGAATTACCAAAGTAAATGAGGGCAGTTTAATTGCACACGCATGCACAAACACACACACACACACTTTGAATATTTGCAAAATTGATGTAATGGATACTTAATCTATGGGATACTTTGGATTGGTGTCACTTGCATGGTAGGTAAGTCTGCTCTGGCACAGGAGTCATCCCCTCCCTCCCACTCTAATAGGGCCCCATTGTAAATAATAGCTTCTAAGGAACTCCATCTGCACTGGTGCCCCCCGATGCAGCCACCACTGTCTCTCAGCTGGACTATTACAGTAGCTGTCCAGCTGTTCTCCTCACTTTCTCGATTGTCTCCTTCCAATACCTTTAACACAGCAATCAGTTATTGCTGATTATTTAAAATTTCAAGTCTGATTAAAGTAATTCATATTATGGTCATGTCTATGCACTTTGAACAAAATGCCAAATTCTTCACACGCTCAACAAGAGCCCGTAGGATCAGCCCTTGCTTCGTGATCTCATGCCAAACTCCGCTGAGGCCACTTGCCTTCTCACCACCCTGCTCCCCCCAAGCCAGCCTGGTCCCCATCGCAAGGCTTTTTTCCTCTCTTCCCACGGCCCACAGTGATGTTCACCCCTATCTGCTTCTTCAAAGGGGCCATCTCTGACACCATCCCCCATCTAAATGAGCTGTCCCGGTACCTCTCTCTCAGCACCTTGCTTTTTTCCTTTGTATCATTTATGGTGGTTTATAATTATATACTCACTTATATGTCTAAGTGTTAAATACCTGACCACCCACTAGACCGGTGGTTTTCAAACTTTTTATACTTATGCAGTTAAGAATTATCAAGGACCTCAAAGAGCTTTTGTTTATCTGAGCTATAGCTATTAATGTGTATCCTATTAGAAATTAAAACAGAAAAAAATTTAAATATTTGCCTATAAACGCATGTAAAATAATAAAACCTATTATATGTATATTAACCTAAAATAGTATTTTATGGAAAACTATGATTTTTTCAGAAGAAAAAAAATTTGTGCAAAGAGGGGCATTATTTTACATTTCACTAAATCTGTTTAGCGGCCAGCTTAATA